ACATCATGCGCACATACACAGACACACACATTAGAAACGACAAGGAAATAATCGTTGACGTTGGGTAGTGGGCCGCCGCCAATGAGCCTATTCCCGTGCTTTTCGAGGCCCTAGGACCTGTAGCACTATGTCTGCATGTCGCATCCCCCACACCATCAGCCGGCCGTGGGCGCACCTCAATTTTGTGCAAGTCGGCGCTGCAGCAGGCGCCAGTGCAGGACAGGGCATCCTGGCTGACCTGGATCTTGAAGCAGTACGTGTTGCTGCCCGAAGGCCGCCACACCGGTGCCAGCCGGTACGCGCCGTTTGTGGTGTTGCAGTCGCGGAATGGGAAGTTGGGGATGCTGCCAGGCGTGACAGCTGAGCCATCGTACTCGTTGTATTCCTGCGCATGAGCGCTGAGCGCCCTGGAGCCAGCGGCGACAAGCAGCAAGCAACATCAGTGCTCATGGTTGACGCTTGCTGTTTCATGATCGAGTTATGATTGTTGACGTCTTATCTTTTATGTATTGCTTTATAGAAAAGGCTCATCACTATGGCATGCGACAGGACATGTACGTCTTTTGCGACGCAAAGGCAAAGACTTGAAAGCCTTCATGTATATGGCATGCTCTTAAACATATTTATAGGTCAAACCTCAGAGCGAAAGCGCAGGCATTTGGGAATGCACCATGCTAAATACGCACCAGCCAACGGCCAGCGCTGTCGCCAAAATGAAAGCCGCCTTTGCAAAGGATGCCATATTGTCAGAGCTATATTACTTTGATGATGTTCTGTATCATAGTTGCGCTATTTATCTACCCGACCGACCGCGGCAGCTGTGCTGCTGCTGGGCCGTACGTCTACCATAAACGGCGGGCGCAGGTAGCCGCTTCCGAGACTGGCCACCGCAACAGAGGTGCTTCGTCCTTTGGAATCAATATGTTTATGTAGAATATAAATCTCAGAAACACGGCCCAACATGCTTTAATCGCGGACACATGTAGTTGTGCATTTCATCCGTTGGGATGTTGCTCGTGTTGTACGTGTCGGAATCCGACCCGTCGTTGTAATCTGTAGCACCATTTCTTTTATATAACTTGATATTTACTGACCAACAGCTCTGATCCTGGCATAATGAATATAACTTCGCCACACATCCTTCATCATTTAGGTTGGTGAGCATGCATCGTTTTCCGCACCGGTAGCTACGGCTGCTACTCGGCGGTTAATGATGCGAAAGCCAGTTGCATCAGCAACGGGACCGAACCACATCAAAATAAACCTAGGAACTACTACACCTCTAGACAACAGCGTGCTAGCGCCTAACAAACGTGGGTGCGGTGCGGTGTGTGTGGCGAGGGGCCTGGTGTTGCACCACCCGAACTGAGAGGGAACTGGAGAGAGGGATAGTGGTCAGAGCGGGGAGGGGCGAGAGGGAATAGCCCAGCAACTCCAGGTCTTAAGGCCCATGTCCGGGACTTGATACCTGAGCGCAAGGGCGTCAGCGATCTACTGACCCCAAAGCCTATTGAGGCCTCGTTGTACACTTCTTATTCGTGTCTCTCTCTATCCCTTCAGCGCAGTGCTTGCCAGGCGAGCTTCGGCCTCTGCCCAAATTCTTTCCGACCTCTTTTGGTTCTTTCTCGGTTATCTACTTATATTTAAACAAGGCTGATAAATGTGGCCGATGCATTTACCTGTACAACTTCCCGCAACCCGCAACAATGCCGTACACCCCGGCAAAATGGCCTCGGCCTCGGAAACCACAAGAAACCTACTGCATGATAAGGCCCATTACAGGAACCCGTCTTCACAACTCGGCACGACCCCACCGATGACAACGCTGTCACGCACCCCTCGAATGCCCAACAACGGCACATGCTCCCATTGGCCTCTATACCAGGGACTCCCCCTCATCACAGATAGCCGTTCTCCGCAGGGGCTCTACATGTGCAGGGAGTGAGGTACGGATGAGGGAGGGTGCTACATTACTGCCTACATCAATAGCACCCTGCTTATTGGACCAGTATATCTAGCCCCTGAAACCTCCTGTGTCTACCCGGGGGAACACGGTCCTAAGGTTGCTCGTAATGGTGTGGTGGAACATGCCTTTGCACCCCTGCAACATTGATCGCTATCAACGAGCTGTGCACCAGTGATGAGGATGTTTTCCTGGTCGGAGAAGGTGGGTGAGCAATCTACCGATGATAACGGCCAAGTCCTTAGCTACCTTA